CATGTAGTAACTGCAATTACACCACTGCATAAAGTAACTGCAACTACACCACTGTACACAGTAACTGCAATTACACCAATGAATAGAGTAACTGCAACTACACCACTGCATGGAGTAACAGCCATTACTCCACTGCTTAGAGTAACTGCAACTACACCACTGCATAGAGTAACTGCAACTACACCACTGCATAGAGTAACTTCAACTATACAAATGCAAAGAGTAACTGCAACTACACCACTGCATATAATAACTGCAATTACACCACTGCATAAAGTACCTGTAATTCACCACTGTATATAGTAACTGCAACAACATCACTGCTTAGAGTAACTGCAACTACACCACTGGATAGACTAACTGCTACTACACCACTGCGTGGAGTAACAGCAATTACACCACTGTATTGAGTAACTGCAATTACACCACTGTATATAGTAATTGCAATTACACCACTGGATAGAGTAACTGCAACTACATCACTGCATATAGTAGCTGTAACTGCACCACTGTACCCATTAATTGCAACTACACCACTGCATATAGTAACTGCAACTACATCACTGCATAAAATAACTGCAACTACACCACTGTATGTAGTAACTACAACTACACAACTGGATACAGTAACTACAAATACACCACTGCATAGAGTAACTGCAAATACACCGCTGCATAGAGTAACTGCAACTACACCACTGCATTAAGTAACTGTAACCACACCACTGAATGAAGTAACTGCAATTACACCACTGCATGTAGTAGCTGCAACTACAGCACTGCATAGAGTAACTGCAACTACACCACTGCATAGAGTAACTGCAATTACACCACTGCATAGAGTAACTGCAACTACACCACTTGTTAGAGTAACTGCAACCACACCATTGTAAAAAGTAACTATAACTATACCACTACATAGAGTATCTGCAATTACACCACTAAATGGAATAATTGCAACTACACTACTGCATAGAGTAGCTACAACTTCACAATTGGATATAGTAACTGCAACTACACTACTGCATAGAGTAGCTACAACTACACAATTGGATACAGTAACTGCAACTACACTACTGCATACAGTAACTGCAAACACACCACTGGATACAGTAACTGCAAACACACCACTGGATACAGTAACTGCAAACACACCACTGGATACAGTAACTGCAAACACACCACTGGATACAGTAACTGCAAACACACCACTGGATAAAGTAACTGCAAACACACCACTGGATACAGTAACTGCAACTACACCACTGGATACAGTAACTGCAAACACACCACTGGATACAGTAACTGCAAACACACCACTGGATACAGTAACTGCAAACACACCACTGGATACAGTAACTGCAAACACACCACTGGATACAGTAAATGCAACTACACAACTGGATAGAGTAACTGCAACTACGCAACTTGTTAGAGTAACTGCAACTACACAATTGGATACAGTAACTGCAACTACACCACTGAATGAAGTAACTGCAACTACACCACTGGATACAGTAACTGCAAACACACCACTGGATACAGTAACTGCAAACACACCACTGGATACAGTAACTGCAAACACACCACTGGATACAGTAACTGCAAACACACCACTGGATACAGTAACTGCAACTACACAACTGGTTAGAGTAACTGCAATTACACCACTGCATAGAGTAACTGCAAACACACCACTGCATTTATAAACGTTTTATATTGTTTTCATTCAACAAAGAATTACATGTATTCACACAAATAGTGCAAATATGACAAATCGTTGAGCTTATTAAAAATATGGGAATGCGTATTAATTATTCATTTAGATAACTATGAAAAGTTAAGATCGGCTCTGTTGCCTGTAGAGGGCACCCTATGAATTAAATTGTTTCGTGTGTGCACTCACCATACAACACCTTACCTTTTTTTCTAGGCTGAAATAATTATTCTTGCTATATCACTATCTTACCAGATGCCATGTGGTAATTGTGGAATTTATTTCATTGAAAATAGCCTTCCTTGAAAGACAATCTTCGAATAGATTATCGTTATCATATATTCAAGAAGCATACTGTCTTATTTGATATGAATATTGGCCATCAAAATCCAGGCTATATCCTCTGATACATGATTGTAAAAGTAAAAAAAGAAAAGACAATTCATAATTTCATGTTCACAAAAACCTGAAAAATAGAAAGCGAGTAAAGCGAAGTTAATCGCATATATTAAACCTGAATTAAAATGGCAGTATAATAAATTGGACATTGTTCATATTTATACAAGCATTATGAATAAATATTAAAAATTGTAAAGAAAATTATATTTATTTTTTCTGATTTATGGAAGAATCGCTGCATGTCAACGGGATTGTTTTCCAAACTTCATAACGGGGTGATCCATTTATCCGCGGGGTGTTCGAATTGTTTCGTTTCTGTTGAATCACATTGTCTAATTCGTTTCCGTCACCGGAAATTGTGTGCATATATATCATCCGTTCCAACATGCTTGCTTGGGCATTTGGTTATTTTACAGACTCGCCGCTGATACATTGCACGTGATCACACCTTTTCAATAAATCACACCCCCTAGCGAAGTACTTTTATGACTTAGAACGAACGTAGATTAGTAAAAGTATTTTATTTGTGTAGTTGATTGTCATTGCAACGTTGCAGAATGTGACGTTTGCATAATATGGCGTTTGAGAAATATTTAGTTGTAAACTATGAGCATTTTTTTTCAAACAGATTAGGCGGGGAAAACGTACATGTACAAGAGTAATTGACTACTATTTACAATTGTATATATTGAAAAGTTTGTGACGTATAAATCAATATACATACCGTTATATTTCAGAAAAAAAAAACACAAAGTGTAAACAAAAAGTTCTGGGTACGTTTGTATATGAAATCTATGTATAATCTGTTTCAAGAGAACATTTTACTTGTCGCTCACGACAAGGATTCGTAATCTAAATTGGGGTGCAAAATTCTGCTCTGCGAATATTTACAACCATTTATCCAACCTCTGATGCAACTGTCGGTGATGGCGCCATAAGGGCAGTTTGGAATTTTTTGTAAATATGTAAAGGCATCATTTTTTTGAGAATCTGTACTATCATCTCGTGATACGGGTACGTATGTATGTATCAAATATAACACTGTGATATTAATGCATATATTCCGTTTCCATGATTTACTTCCTATGCTAATAGCTACCATGTGTTTACGACGATTATACAATGTATGGTTGACAAGTACATAATAAAAACAAATTGGAAACATGAATACCACTTCCATTGTCATTAATCAATTTTCAAGTCTTTCCAGTCATCCCCAACAAACACAAGCATAACAAGTATGATCACAACACCACAATTCTAAAGCAAAAAAGAGGGTACTCAAGAAAGAATCGCAAAATGCCACAGTTCATACCATCAAGAAAGACGTCACAATTAACAGCTAATGAAACAACATGAAATTATGTTCAAAAGGTATATACCCATTTCGCAAAATGAAAATTAATCATCCTATTCAGAATTATTAAAAAAAATAATGAGAATGCAGATTCATATCCC